TGAGAAGACGGGAATTTTTAGTGCAAATCAGAGGCGATGCGGTATTTTATCATTTCGCGTCGCAATAGGTGCGTGGTCATGTTGCAGGGACCGGATGGCTGCAAGCCTTGGTCGGATTTATTTGCAATTAAGTAAGTGGAGATCAAAACGCCGGGAGCAGGAGGGGAAGTTAACTCGTTGAATGATACAATTGGGGCAAAGCGAGATAAAATGGCGGGAAAATAAAACATGAGGAGGGTAAAAGGAGGCTGAAGCTGTCGACTTTCCTCGGTCCGATCCTCCGTCTAAGCTTGTCTGGAATCCTATTATCGTCATCTCGATCAGACTATACAAAGTTATTTTGTATGCATGCGGATATTATTAATGGGATGTAGGAAAGATCCCAATGAGTGTACGCGTAAATAAGTTAAATATTATAATTTGTCTCTAAATCCTGTAGCTTGATGTCGGGAAACTTTGGATTTATGAAACAAAGAACCTATTCTGGGCGTGGACAAAAATTGGGAAGACAAGATCTGATCACTGAGTCATTTGATGCCTTGACCTCAGCTTCCCAAATTTTTTTAGTGCAATCTCATGAAAAGCATTGTTCATTTTCTTCTTGAAATTACTGTCTCCGCCGTTGGCCACTTGGTCTTGCCCAGTCGCCAATTCTCTGCATCAGTTCAATGACTGTTTGGTGTATTGTGTGACAGATCAGACCAGACAAAAACGTAGCCGATGATCAGCATCCCAATAATACAGAAGAACCAGATCGTCCGACCTCGTGGCTTAGTCATAAATGAGGGCAAACCAAGTGATCGGAGGCCGAGACCTATGGGGTTAAGAAAGATTTTTTTTTAGTTAAAAGAAAAGGCAAAGTAAGATAATTGTAAAGGATCAGGCAGTTTCGATGGCGGCATGAAATGTAACTTTCTTCCAATAAACTTGGAAGATCAAATAGCAAGTTGGCTGCGGGAATGGGGTTATCTTTAGGAGTGTATTCGCTCGGTGGTAGTATCGAAACACTCAATGAGGACATATCCGGCCGTTTTTCTTTTCTTTCATCTCAGAATGAAAGAAAAGCCTGATTTCGCTGACGATTCGACTTCGCCGAGGTCCAATTAGCCCAACTAATAAGACTGAGGCGAGGTTGAAACAGTTGGCCGACTCAAATTGGAAAGCGTTCTGAAAGAGGGTCGAAATTAATGCCGTCGAGAGGCTGGTTCAATTGGGCGACTTGACGTTAAGTTCGAGCTAGTGTGTACGCCTCGAAAGCATCAGTCCGTCTTGTACATCGAGTAGTTAGAAGTTAGATTGCTGAGAGAGGAAATGATTATGCAGAGAAACTGGTTCTCGAAGAGTTCCTTTATAGATTGAGGTTGAAGCTAAGCTTTCGTCCGTCATATGAAAAAGAAAAGGAGTTTTTTTGACTCGTTAGCTTCAATTTTTTGTGACGATGTTACATCGCTCTGATGATGTCCCTCATGACGGACGAAAGCTTAGCACCTTTTGACCGGAATCAAAGGAGATTGCCTCGGAAACAGTGTCAGCATGAATCCTCCAGTAAAGCCAATCGACATTCACTCGAAATGGAAGTGAGCTCAACAATTATGAAACAAGAGATTCCTCGAAACCCAACTTTTCTTGGCATAGACTTATTTTTACTACCCATATCTTTGTGGGCAAACAATTTAACCATCAGTCCTAGACAACCTTATTCAAGATGCACTGATAGTTTTGAAGTCTACCCTGAACGAACACGTGTAAGACGTGTTAGTTGACCGGCTTTGTCAGAAGGTGAAATATGAATTAATTTCACTACTCATAAGAAGTAGGTCTCGAGACTCCGCTTAAGGCTTGGATAAGACGTGCATTCACGACAAGTGGCATAAAGGGAAGGACTGATTGGTGTCCATTTGGCACAAAACGATTTGGTTTCACTTGCTTGCCTTGAGTCGCAAAAGGTATCCTCAACCCGACTGGATTCGACTGCAGTCTCCACCTCTCTCGGGTCTCATCAGCTGCGCCAACGGCATAGCATTTCACATGACTGTGGGCAAATTAAGCTCTTGTTCCTATCTCTGCTCATGCGACCTGGCAGCAAAATGATTATGAAATGGACACCGGAAGTCGGTATTTTAGCATCCAAAGCCAGTTTCTTGAAAAAAAGATCTAATGAATGCCCAATGAAGCAGATCTAACAATTGCTACCGACCTGGCCATCCGGAAGGTGATCCTGCGATCAATGTCGCCGGGCAGCCGAGCCTGCAACCTGCTCGTCCGTAGGGACGGACTGCCAGCAGAAAGAATGTCGACATGAGGATCCCGAAAAGCATGCCATAGCAGAAAGTCCGCACAGGCGATGGTGAACCTCCTGCGCGAAGTTGGAACAGATCGTCGGGTCTCAACGGTAAGCCAGCGCCGCTGGATGGGCTGACGCCTCTGCACTCCATCGAGATTTGCTGGGCTGTACTGGCTTTAACAGCCTTGTCCACGCCGACGGATTCGGGTGGGAAACTACCCGACACGTCGTCTCGACTTGTACCACGTCCAGAGGGGCCTACGAGAAAAG